TCTCGGGGCTAACGTCGAATTGTCGCATGGCGCCAATGAGGGCTTTTGCGCAATCGATGACGTTTTTGTATATGGTCAGGCGGTACATGGCGAGCTCTTCCTGCGTGTAGCCGTTCTGATGTATGATCTTCATCTGCTTGACGATGGTCGACTTTCCGCTCTCTCCGGAGCCTGTAGGGTGTTAATGATTGCGTTGGCACGCAGACAGGCTGGAGCTACTCACCCAACAGCAGGATCTTGCATTCCCGCCGTAACCGTCGCGAGTCTTCCTCGAGCTTGCGGTCAATGGCCTGGCTGCGTTTCTTCTGCTCGACATCGTCGTTGTTGGTGCTCATGCAGATGCCCATAATGCCGGCGTGTGGTGCGGCTCGCGGCCGCGGGCGTTGGGGGGGAGTCGGGCGCGGGATAATGATGGAGCACGAGGCTCAGCGCGTCGCAGAACCGTCGGCGTGGAATGTGTGCGGTGATGCGAGCGAGGCTCTGGTCCGGATGGCGGCGTGACGGCTGGCGCGTTGCTGGAGCTGTGGTGACGCTTGGTCGGCTTAATCCGACACGCAGCTCCGTCAAAGGGGGCCTCGCGAGGTGAGCGGGCGCGGCAGCGTCGTCGCCAGCGTGGACGGCGGCAACAATGGGAGCGGGGTCGGGCTGGCGCGCGAGGACGGGCTGGGGTTTGGAATGCGACGGTGGTGGTGGTGTTGTATGGTTGGTAGGGTCGTCTTGGTGAGCTAGATCGGAGACTCCAGGGCTGCCAGTGGCTCGTGCGGAGGTGCCTTCCCCAGTAAGTTGATGAGGAAGGCGCGGGATCTGGAGAAGGTGCAACCAACAACAACGTCGCCCGGCGCCGACGGAGGGCCTGGGGGTATTGATTGCGGGAGGTGCGCGTGGCAAGAGGCGTGATGCAGATGCGTTGGCCCTTGTTCTCGCAGCGCAGAGCGTGAATCACGGATGGGTGATGGATGTGAAGGCGATGATGGCAGCAGGCGCGATGCTGCTAAGCCTCATCCAATCGTGGATGCTAGGGCAGCGATCAGGGTAAATGGCACGAGCCAAGCAGCGGAACAGGACGCGCTGAAGCGAGGCAGAATGCAATAGTGCTGGCAGATGCTGGCAGTGGGGATGCGCTGCGCTGCGATGCAAGGCAATGGAGGTGTTGGTGCCCTAACAACGCTCGAGGCCGTGTGCTACCTAGGTACGCCGTCGTGCCATGGAGCGTGGCTGCCAGATCCGACGTGCCTCTATCATTGGCAGATTGGCCGTGTGCTTCAAGAGCTCGGCTTACGACCCGCGGCTTTCCAACACTGCCCTCACGGCGGCCCCTTGATACAACGGCCCCTGCACTACGCGCTGCAGCTGTGCCTCCAAACGTCTATATACAGTACCTGCAGTCTGCACTCTGCGGTGCTACACCTCTGTTGGCTTCACGATGTCTCCCCCGTCCAATCGACCCACCGCCCCGATCAGCTCAGCCCCCAATCTTGGAGGGTCTCAATCTGGAACGCCTCCACGATAGAGTTTACCTCGTCGCCCAGCCAGCGCCAACTCCACCTGAATGACATGCAACGGCGTTTTCAAGTTAGACATGTCCGTGGGGCTGGTCCCCCCAATGTAAAGGCTTCTAATTTAAGCCGGGTACTTTTGTCAAATGGCCCTGACTGAAGTTGAATGCGAGCCTCCTGCCACACACTGGTTCTGGTTACTGGTCACTGGCCAGCTGTGAAGGACGCTAGCTGAAAGCTGACCAGCTCCCACCTTTGCGGACAATGGACCTGGGACATGTTTTGATGTCGTGCATTATCATTGTGTCTGTTCGGGAACGTCAAACAGACAGATTCACCAGGGCCACATGTCAGCAATCGCTTGCACGTTTCGTGTGGTAGTGACCCTGTTCCGTGATAGCCGCAGCATACCATTCACACACGGTCGGCGCGAGCCGCAAACGAAGCATTACGCAATGCCATATCAGGGATGCCACGAGGGCTGGCAATCGGCCCTTGAGCCAGGTACCGCCGTGGATAGTGAAAAGTTCAAAGACGTTTGTGTTCTGGCCTGCATCCACGGCACCGCGGCATCACGGCATCGACGTATCAAGACATCCGCGTATCAACGCGTTGACGTATGCGATAGCGCAGCCCGGCGCTGTTCAACGAAGCCGTGTCTCTTATTATGGCCTACCTTCCTCATGATTTGATCAGTAATGGGTAGATATGATATCAGCAGGGAGACCCGGCGCAGGTTCTACACCCAGGGAAGGTCTAGCTGCCCAGACATGATGTCTGCCCGTACCGTGTCAGAACGAGCAGGTAAGACAGCTGCATGTCACCGTTCAGGGCAGCCAACGTAGTGCACGGGCCACCTCCCACGTGAAAGGAGGGGTGAAGGGGAGTGAATACGGAAAGAGCTTCGAGGCGGTAGTGGGGTACATGGACGAGACAGCAGACGTCGTGGTGATGGCGCATTGCAATCTTCAGCGTGTCCAGTAGAACCCGGTAAAGGCCTGCGCTAGGTGTGAAGCACAGGCTGCAATGGAAAACTCGAAAATCCATCGTGACGTCACCAGAAGAAGCCGAAACCTGTGTGAGCGACACTTGTGCGCGGGCCATGTGCATGTGTCCCTCTATCGCATTTGGTGCCTGCCCCTCGTTGTCTTCTTACCTTCACCTCTTCCTTTCCGCACTGATCTGCATCCTCGCCACGCCCTCGAGCCTCATCCTTGTGTTGCACATAGTCTGAGGTCATCCCGTCGGTGCCTCAATCCTCTCCGCCGACCCGCTTACTGTCAACATTGGTCTCCAAGCGGCAATCAGCAACCCCAACGTGTCCCAGCCGTCGACGCTCGCGACATTCCTGGTGCAAACTCTGAAGCCTTCGAAAAGGATTCCTCGGAGCCGTTGTCGCGCAAGCCCTTCGTTGCCGGACCCAGCCACCGAGCCCAATAGAACCTGCCCTGATCTAGCAGCGTCAACGTGCAACTAGAGCCCCGACGCATTCGCGACTACCCCACGGCTTCCTACTCGCCCTCTTCCACCACCACCACCCCAATTTTCGACACAGACCCGTCCTTGCGCCTGTCGCATCATCATAATCACCTTCCTTCACCATGGCGGAATTCGTACGCGCCCAGATTTTTGGCACCACTTTCGAGATTACCAGCAGGTGCGGATATACCCCACATTGCGTTTTCTGGCACAACTGACACCGACCAGGTACACCGACCTGCAGCCCGTGGGCATGGGCGCCTTTGGTCTCGTCTGGTACGACCTCCACACCACCAGACTCGAATTGATTGTTGACTCCGGCGCAGCTCAGCCAAGGACCAGCTTACTAGCCAGGCGGTGGCCATCAAGAAGATCATGAAGCCCTTCAGCACTCCGGTCCTGTCGAAGCGGACATACCGCGAGCTGAAGCTTCTGAAGCATCTTCGACACGAGAATGTGGGCAATGCAGCAGCCAGTCCCCAGCGAAAACTCTAACACTCTCCAGATCATCAGCCTGAGCGACATCTTCATCTCTCCCCTCGAGGATATGTAGGCAGTCACATCACCGCCAACCCGAGCAAGCACTAATCCGCCCAGCTACTTCGTCACCGAGCTCCTCGGAACCGATCTCCACCGCCTGCTCACCTCCAGACCGCTGGAGAAGCAGTTCATCCAATACTTCCTGTACCAGATTTTGGTGGGTGGCAAAATTCCAACCATGCAAGAAAATGCGCTGACCTGAAAAGCGTGGTCTGAAATACGTCCACTCCGCTGGTGTCGTGCACCGCGACTTGAAGCCCAGCAACATCCTCGTCAACGAGAACTGCGATCTCAAGATTTGCGACTTCGGTCTCGCCCGTATACAGGACCCTCAGATGACGGGTTACGTCTCTACCCGATACTACCGAGCGCCTGAGATCATGCTCACATGGCAAAAGTACGACGTCGAGGTTGATATCTGGAGTGCGGGCTGCATCTTCGCTGAGATGCTCGAGGGCAAGCCGCTCTTCCCCGGCAAGGACCACGTGAACCAGTTCTCCATCATCACCGAGCTTCTGGGTACTCCCCCAGACGATGTGATCCAGACCATTTGCAGTGAAAACGTAAGTAGATGCACAAAACCTTGGAAGCAACTTTGCTGATTTCCGCAGACACTGCGATTCGTCCAGTCACTTCCCAAGCGCGAACGACAACCCCTCTCCAACAAGTTCAAGAACGCCGAGCCTCAAGGTCAGTTTGCAGCTTCAATGAAGAGAGCGTGGACTGACATTATCTAGCCGTCGATCTCCTAGAGAACATGTTGGTCTTTGACCCGAAGAAGCGTGTGCGAGCGGAGCAGGCCCTTGCCCACCCATACCTCGCTCCATACCACGACCCGACTGATGAGCCAGTCGCGGAGGAGAAGTTCGACTGGTCGTTCAACGACGCAGATCTACCCGTCGACACCTGGAAAATCATGATGTACGTGTACTCCCAGTGCATCACGTAAACGGAGCTAACACAACACAGGTACTCTGAAATCCTGGACTACCACAACGTAGATGCGGCGGCACAGGAGGAGAACAACGGCAGCTAAATACACATAATGTCTACCAATCTCGAGCTACAACAATTTTCAGTCTCCACGACAACAAAGTATGCAGTTGCCGAGGCTCGACGTATCATCTGCCTGGCGCAGGCGGAGTTGCTGTTCCCAATGATTCCCAAGGTCTCGTCTGTTGGACCTATGTGACATGAAGGTGCGCGGTAGATGGGGCATGGGCTTGTCTTTGTCATTTGGATCGCCATGGCTGGTACACGAAAGGAATGTTATGGAGGAATTGAAGGCTATGGTCGACCTAGGTAGGAATGTGAAATCATATTATCAAACATACGTTATTCTTCACTTTGACTCATGAACATGTCTGATTATATTGTATTTCAATGCGATGACAGCATTCGTCGCTAACGGGCCTGGCATCGCAGGTACTCAAGATAAAGACTGCATGATGTAAAGGGGAGATCAGAAAGTCCTCCAGATCTTCTCTGGTATCCGTGGCGGAGGATCTCGGGCGTACTCCCAAACCCGGGAACGGGTGGAGATCGCCGAGGCTTTCCACTAGCGCCATAAGGCTGATTGAGGGACCGCTGTTTCGTCACCGCTCTGAGCGCGTCCGCAACGACTCGAGGACGCGAGCCTGGCCCCTATGGCCCTACAACATTTGTTTGTATTTAAACTGAATGCTATGCGATAGCACTTCTATCGCACGACAATGGCGACTCTCAACCCACTTGTCTGCGTCGTGGACTTCCACCATGCGCGGTAAGCTTCTCCTTTACCAGTAGAGGTGTGAGTACAGAAAGAGACGGAGGAAGGATACTGGGCAACTTACGATACCTTTGTGGCTATCTGATGCGAATGAATCGCTGACTATTCAACGCAGAGGCCCAGAAGTGGAAACATGGCTCGGGGCAGAAGAGGGAACCGACCCAGCAGTAGACAACGACTGGTCGCTGCTGCCCTTCATGGCCCTGAGCGATGGCGCGCATGCCTCTGCCGAAGACTACTCGTACTTTACGCTCCGCCGCGCTCAGACCCCGACCTCACCCGCTACCTCACTCTTCGGAATATCGTGTACGCGACAGCTCGACGCAAGCAAGCTTATCGATCGGCCGGCTGAAGTTACAAGGAGTACGGTGCAAAAGGCTGTCGTTGTCATCAGCGATAGCCCACAGCACTTTGGGGCCATAAAAGCGCAGCTGGGCGTTGTCACCCAGCTGTGGTTCAATCAGAAGTACGTCAGGCTCTCATAGTGCAAAACGAGGATGACGTGGAACTCACAATTCTTCAGAGACTTCACCGATATCGAGATATTGGAGCGCTTTACGGAAAGTCTACCCCAACTGCTTAAGAATCAGGAGGGGCAGCAGGACCATTACTTCGGTATTTCTCTGCGCGAGTTAATCCACGAGTTCAAATGGCAGACTTTGGTTCTTTTCAAATGCGCGCTACTTCAACCGAAGGTATGTTTCAACCTCTTGAAGCCGACATAGTGTGGCACGAGCATACAAGGTTACTGACGAAATGCAGGTCCTCTTCTTCGGCTCCCATTGCGAACGATTATGCATGATGCAATTTGCTCTTATTTCACTGATACCCGGCCTTATTCGCCACCTACAAGATGCTGCTGACCCTAAGTTCAATTCGTGTGAGGAAAAGTGTGTCATGCCCACTTCATTAAAGACATCGGAGCGCGCTTCCTGTCAGTGCATGTTCTCACCAATAGAAGCAATATACTGACAAGATTCAGTGTTGGCATACATGGGTCTCCCGCTCCAACTCTTCGGTACAGGCTCGCTGTTTGGACCATACACACCGCTTCAGCAGCTTGATATACTTGCAGACCAAGATACCAAGTCCTACATCGTCGGCTCTACGAACTCGCTGCTGCTTCAGCAAAGAGATCGATACAGCGATATCCTCATCAACCTCGATGACCACACCGTAAACATCACCTCAGCTGCACTCCGACAAGCATCGATCTTGTCGACGCCGGACCGGAGATGGATGGACTTCTTGACACAGACGATCAACGATACCTGGGATGAGGCAGATCCAGCGCGGCCCAAGGATCACGGATACGCCGGCAGCGAGGAGTTCATTCGCATGCAATTCGAAGAGTACCTGCTCGCAATGCTCAGCTCCGTCAAGTACAAGCTTTACATGGAAAAGAACGCACACAAGGAGAACTTGATTTCTGAAGTAGAAGGAGACCCAGCGAGCGAGTTCTCAAATGAGTGGGTACACGCCTGGATGCAGACTGAGAACTTCCGCATCTGGAATAAGTTTACCGATTCTCACCTTTTCGACATCGTTGATCCCAAACACCCCTGCTCTGGCGGTCTCTCAATGGAAGACGTTCAACGCCGACTAGCACAGTACGTTTCTGCATTCTTTCCATATCCCCACCAGCCCGACTAAAGCACTCACTTAGTCTGTTCTCCAACACAACCTTCCAAGCCGTATCTCTTGGCGTATGTGTGCTGATGCTCGCTTGGCGATTAGGCAGGTAGCAGAAATGCATCTCGACGAACGATTAGAAAAGTCTCGGGAGGTCTTGGGAAAACAGCTTGCAGTGGGCCAACAGAAGGTCAGCTCTGCATACAACCGCCTGTGGGCGGAGATGGAAGGCATGCGCGAGGCACAGAGGAAGAGGGCCGAGGAAGCGCGATTGCAAGCTGAGAAAGAAGGGAGGCCCGTCGATGATGCAAAGAAGTGTAAGTCAGACATGTCGCTTTGCACGCACACCAATGCTAATGACCAAATAGGGAAAGCACCTCAAGCCCCCGACCTCACGAACGCAAAAGCCAGCGCGGGCGCATACTTCTCCAGCTGGGGCACCTGGGCGAGCGAGAAGAGGAAAGGATGGGGGACAAAGACACCCGTATCTTCGCCTCCGCCGGGTGATCTCAAGAGAGCGGAAGACTTCAAGACAGATAAGGAGGCGGTTGTTGGTGATACCCCGGCTAGTCCGCCGCCGCCGGATGTCAAGAGGAGAAGCTTGTTCTTTGATGCAGATGCAGAGAACGGTAAAGAGGGTGTTGGGAAGGAATGAAAGAGAAACGACTATGTCAAGGCATAGAGGATACTAGTGTTCGCACAGTTATAAGAGCGGCAATTTGATGCAGCAATCTATAGCGTTCGTTTCGGCGAAGTAAATATATGGTATCTCGCTTGTTCTGGTGTGTACCTCGGCGGAGGGACTAGGTCTTGGACCTTGCGCTCGTCTTCTACTGTGGAAGGACTACCGTGAATATGCTTCTATCCATGAGACTAAAGCAAATGCATATCACTTGATAGTTATGAGAGGCACTCCTGGTACTTTGTCGTGCCTGCGCAATGTTCCGAAGGGCAGTTTAGTCATTAGCGTCTTGGCCATCTCGTGCCTCGTCAGACGTCCGATTGTCACCACTCTTCCTTCTCCCCCAACTTCGAATCTGTCGCTGCGATAGTAATCGCCCATCCCAATATTGCCAAATCTTCTTTCTTATCTCGTCAGTCGCTTGGCCATGCTAGTCGTACTCGAAACAGAACTTATAATGCCATTGATCCTTCGAGCGCGGAAGTTGTACTGAAGACTAACACGCAGTTTGACACAGTATGGCGGGCCGTAAAGGTAGGTGCATTCTTCACATTTCATTCTTATCGCATCCTAGTTACCTTGCATTGCGTCTTCCTTTTCTCCCGTCTTTCTTCATCGAGTGTTGTGCTTTGCAGGCTCCGGAGCGGAGATTGTTCCATACCAGCAGGATGTGGCCAGGCCTGGCGAAGTAGACTAATCCACTTGACTGTCCATGTCCAAGCGGTCTACTCATGTGCGCCGTATCACTGGCTTGCATACTGAGGATGCTCATTGAGGACATGCGGTGTGTGCGTTTGTTCTTGCTCCGGCTTCGGTGGCCACTTCGACCATCCAGGCCATGGCGGCTACGAAGCAAGATCGCGATGCACTCAAGTGCAAGTGCAGTACTCGATGCAACCTTTTCCTGCCACAGTCATGTCGCAATGGGCACAAGCGTTCAGACTACTTACCATCTCACTTCCCTCCAAAACCATGGCAACGCCGCCGGGTGTTTGGGCAACGCCGGCATCGCATCCAAACGTAGACAGCTACCGATACGTTCTGTGACACTTTTGGTGTTCTCGCTTGCCAACATACCCATCCTCTCGCTCCCGGTGAACCCCGATTCGGCCTCTGGACTGCGTTCACCGCCCGCGCTCCCGCTCCTCACCACGCGTCTCTTGTTTTGGTCAACGCCTCTCACGTTCACCTCTGTCAACAAAGCTGCCTGGAGGACGCGAGACGCGCCTTGGGCCCGAGCTTAAGCTGCTCAAATCTCTGCTATATAAGGCTTGCTCCCCGCGTCTCCCTCTACCACCTCACCCCACCCCACTCTTGAGTTGACACCTCGTCTACTTTGATCAAAGCTTTGCCTTTGACAGCTTCTACCTTCCTTGCTCCTACCCATACCTTGAGATACCTTGCCTCACGATGTCCGGCACATCAACATCTCTGTTCGGGGGCGATGCGCCATCCGCCTCCGAGAACAACGACGCAGCGTCGGCAGTCCAGATTCCCAGCACCCATGATCCTATCCTCCCTAACGTTGCTGCATCTGCCTTTGGACTCGGTCCCCTAGCATTAGCCCGCAAAGCCGTTGCCGATACTGCTAGAGTCGCGCACAACGCAGAACTCGACGCTGGTAGAGCTGCGCAGGCCGCCAGAGTCGAAGTCATCATCGCTAAGAAGGCCAAAGAGGCTGCAGCAGCGCTCTTCGCTAGCCAGCTCAAAGGTAAGTTCAAGTCACATTCAACAGTCGTCAGATTGTGCTAACAGCTTCAGCTTTCGTTGAGAGTTTCCAGGAGGAACTCAAGAAGCACGGATTGTCCATTGACCGTCAGATCTCTTACATCTCAGATGCCCCCGACGTATGCTGACATGTACAGAGCTCGGTGATAACCCTTGTACTTGGTATGATATCAAGCAGTCCCTCCACGAGGAACCGGCCAAGAACGAAAAGCCCGCCGCTGCTCCCAAGGTAAGTTCATCGAATTCTTTCTCTATCCTCTCTTCTTCTCCTACTTTATTCATTCCTCCTCGTACATTCATTCGTATCCTCCCTCTTCTATCTGAGGATGTTGAGTTCACCACGAATTTAGGGTGTCTTGAGCCTCCCTTCTGAAGTGTTTGGCGAGATTGGCCATCACCTCAGCGTCACGGACCTCAACGACATGCGTCTTGTCAACAGGCGCATGAAGGAGGCTGTGGCATTCCCATACGGTAAGAAAATTTCTGTTACTGAGAACATCGTTATCTTTCCTACTTTTGCAAGCGTTGCCGCGTTCTTGATTGGGCTTGGGTTGGAGGAGGCGTATCCTGGGACGGTTCGAACAATCACCTTGGTTGGCGAGGGACCGACAACCCCGGAGCTCGGCTACAACTACGCTTGGGAAAATCTCCACATTCTCCAGTTCCCCGGCATGCCAGAGCCAACCGAAGACCAGTTGTATGAGGATGAAGAGATCGTGGAGTTCGCCAACGATGAGCACAAACACTGGAGCCGGGCCAACGAGTCATTCTGTCACACTGGCGCATACCGTACCATGCTCAGTAAGTCTCTCCCCATCTAACATGCTGCGAAGTGTACCCGGACTACGCAAGAGCAACACAGCTAAATTCTGAACAGGCCTTGTACTCGCCAAGCTGCCCAACTTGAAGACGATTCAGGTTCGCAAGCTGTACCCCGGTGAGCACATCCCGGGTTGGGCCGGGCCGCAGGCTTTGGAGAAGATGTCGTCGTATCATCCCTGGACTCCCGTCAACGAGATATACTATGGTGATTGGAAGTACGATGAGGTACACAAGCGTGTCACGATGTGGATAGACGAGTACGGTGAAGAGATGGAGGAGGACGATGCTGGCCCTCAGGCGGGCTTTGAGGAGGATCTGTTCGCTGCTATGACACTGTCTGGCACTCAGGCTCAGGTCTTCGAGATGCATAAGGAGTTGGTCTGATTTCAGATAGACATGGATGATACTGGTGTGTAATGGGTTGAGATGATACGGATATGACTGCTAGATCTACCTAATAGCTGGTCTCGATGGCAAAATATGATGAAATTTGCCCAAAATATCTGAATTTTGAGTGATCTATAATGGCTACATCACATCGACAGAGTTTGTACAGAACCCTGGTGAACAGGCCAGGTGTACTTCAGTATCTCGTGCCCTCAATGGCCATAACAGCAGATCTGACTGAATACCTCCCCGCCTCCTCATGGAAATACATACAACACTGAAGGATGTATTGAAGCACATCAGCCCTCACCGAAAACAAAGGCCTTCCAATTGCTCCCTAGCCTCTTGACACCCTCCTCCAACCCCCATCCTTTGATTCCACATATCCTACGTATGATATCTTCCAACCTCCTATCCATCTCATCCCCCGCAGTATGCAGGTCACTCTCCACCAACAACATATCATCCGGCACCATCTTAATGATATCCTGGAAAGCCTGCGGTGTTTCCTCCTCATCCAACGCATCCGACAGGTTAATCGCCGTACTAAACGAAGCAAAGATCTTACAAGGAATCTCCGGCCGCAAGTACTGCGCAAAATTCGACGGAGAACCAGAATATGAATGCAGACATATGCGCGGCGGGTACGGTTTCGGACTGTCGTCTTTCGCACCACCACCGTCACCACCATCGCCATTTCCCGCCTCATCAGCCTCCAACGCCGCCTCCGCACCCGGATGATCCCTCCCCCTCTTCTTCCTCTCCCTCTTACTCAAAACCAGCCTCTCGCACCCCTTCCACGTCTCAGCCAGCACCTCCAACACCAGCCCATGAGCCTGCACCCCATGCACACTAACCGCCCTGCCCATCTCCGCCGCAAGATCAAGCTGTTTCCTAAAAACAATCTTCTGGTGCGCAGGACTACATCGGAAAGGCGTCAGCCGCCTTCCTTCGCGGCCTCCAGGCGTGAGATTACTGTTGCGCTTCGCCCACAGATCGGGGTTGCCGGTCCAAGACTCCGGGATGCGGAAGGAGCGGTCGAGTCCGATTTCGCCGATTAGCGCGAAGGGGTGCTGGAGGAGGTGTTGGCGCGTGAGGGCGAGGAAGGTGGAGAAAGGTGTTGGGTCGGGGAGGGAGGCGTAGGTTTGGAGGTCTTCTGGGCTGGGGTGCGGGCGGTGGGGTTGTAGGACGGATTGGTAGTGGGAGATTTTTGCTTGGCCGGTTAGAGGACCTTGGTCTTGTTGTTCATCTTCGCCTTTGGAGTCGGGCTCGGGGATGTACATTTGATACGAGAACCAGGGGTGCCAGCCGAAGCAGGGGACGATGCATTCTTCTTTTGTCCATTGGGATGGGTTGGCCGATCGGATGCTGTGCTTGTTTGCGGTGGCTAAGACGAGGTCTTGGTCTTCGGCTCTTGTTGCCATTACGGTAAGGACGCGCGCTTTCATGTTTTGGATGGTTTCGATGCTCGACATGGTGTCTGTGGGGTGGCAGTGTGCGTCGTAGACTCCGAGATGCCATGGGAAGGGCTCGTCCTTGTTGGATTGTGTTGACATCTTGTGTCGATGACAGAAGAACTTCTGGATCAAAATGTGTAGAGAATTGGAATACTCTGTGTCGTCGCATGAAGCAAATCTACATTATGACGTGCATGTGAGGCTACTCGGGTGATCCCTGTCGGGCAACGCGCTTTCCGGATTACCCCACGACCCCACCATCAATTGCTGCATGCCAGCTTCCGACAGCTCTACAATGCCATATAACCCGCTAGTATGATCCCTTACAGCACTTAATCTAGTCCTCTGACCTATCCTGAGTCGTATTCAGCTTGCCTACCCCAGTCTAGGACCTCGGCAACTACCAGTACTGGCGAAACCTCGGAAGAGCCAACCTCATACCATTTGCTACTTACGGATACATGCGCATGCGCACATGCATAGTACAAAGAGCCGTCTTCCTGGGTCCATCAGGCAGACGAGAATCCACTTTTTACATGGAGCTGTCAGCCCAATAGCAAACGCCACATTCCGCGCTACCTTGTACGGGACCTAGACGCGAAATGTATTGAGTTGTCACTTTACGCCCCGGAATACGATCGACGCAGAACCAGGTGCCTCGCTTCAATTAAACTCCATGGAAATCCACCAGTGAAGGATTCTGCTAGTAGACCTGTTTGCCTAATCTTACTCCAGGACCGAGGATGTACTTTCTCCGCATATACTAACCCCTCACTAGATACGCCCGTTCGCTTGACAGTCACTTGGACAGTCTAGTGCATGTACTCATACTTTATATCACTTCTACTTCACTTCGACTTGTCACTATCTATCTTTCTCTTTTTCTTCTTCTTCCTATCAACTTCAGGTCTCTTCCTCTTCCTACAATACAACTGTCTATTCCACAGCAAACACAGATAACCAAAACTATCATCATCTACCAACCTCACCCTAACTTCAAACACATCCATGACTACACTCTCCACGATGCCACCCCGCCTACAAAACAAAATCGCCGTAATAACCGGCTCCTCCTCAGGCATCGGCCGCGCCACAGCCCTAGCCTTCGCCTCAGAAGGCGCCTCCCTAATCTGCTCCGACATCACCGAAACGCCGCGTTCAGAATACGCCACAGACAGCTCCCCCAGCAGCACCACCGTCGCCGCCGCCCACGCCCTCGGCGCAAAAGCCCTCTTCGTCAAATGCGACACCACCTCCTCGACCGACATCCAAGCCCTCATCCAGACCGCAGTAAAAGAGTACGGCAGAATCGACATCATGGTGAACAACGCGGGTATTAGCGTGGAGACGGGTGAGCATGGCAGTCGGCCTGTGTGGGAATACGAGGAAGCGGCTTTTGAGCGCACGGTCGATGTTAATATCAAGGGGGTTTTCTTGGGCACGAAGTATGCGAGTAGGCAGATGGTGGGGCAGGAGCCGGGGGAGAGGGGGGATAGAGGCTGGATTATTAATTTGAGTAGTGTTTATGGGTTGAGGGGGACTTCGGGGATCTGTAAGTTCTTTGAGTTCCATTTTCGTCCTTCGTTGAATATGCGACGTTGAGGCTGTGAGTACATGGAAAGCTGACATTATACTAGCGGGCTACGCGGCCTCTAAACACGCGGTCATGGGTCTCACAAAGGCTGCTGCGCTGGACTGCGCACCCTACCGTATCCATGTCAACGCTCTTTGTCCGGGTTACACAGCTACGGCTTTCATCTCCTCGCTACTTACACCCGAAGCCGCAGATTCGAAGAAAGAGGTCGAGACGAGACATCCGTTTGGCGGACTGGGTACGCCGCAGGATATTGCGAGGGCGGCGGTGTTCTTGGCTAGTGAGGATGCGGCGTGGGTCACGGGTATTGGACTGCCGGTTGATGGAGGGTTTAGCTGTATGTGAGGTGCCGTGGAATGAACTTATGGGCGGATGGATGGGTTTGCTGGACTGGGAATTGGACATCTCGTGCATTCTGCTTAGATTGGCACGGTGGTGGGAAGCATAAATCATATGGTCGTGAAGGGAGCACCAGGCTTCAGGGTAGAGAGCCGAATGACTACTATCATGTGAGGGAAGAGACATTCTTCCACATAAGTAGATCATCTTCTGCAAGTGAGTGTTTGACCTGTTTCATTGATTTTGTGGATTATACTAATCACTCTGTACTATGCTATAGCCTCTAGGCCGTCCCAAGTCCTCAAAACAACACCCTATGTACACCCAGTCAACGTAAAAGTGACACACGAAGAAAGCCCCAAAGTGTATAAAAAAAAAGAGACAAAACAACTGGTTTGGGGAAATCGTCGATTGAGGGAAAATGCAGGGACAAGGAAACCCAAAACGCCGCAGCTATGCATAGCTTTCAAGAGTAAAAGGACCTAATGGAGGGGGTGCGAGAACGGAGTCGACTAGGAAAACGGAGAGAGTGCGAATGGAGAGGGTATCGCCGCCGGGGGGACAAGGCCGACATGTGTAAGAGGTGGTCGTGCTCCTTGGTACTATGCAAAAGGTGGATCAGTCAAGCTGAGGGTCGGAATGTAGTGTGGGGATATAGGTGGCGTGGTGGAAGGGCCGAGGGAGTGTGGGAGAATGTATGGAGGTGTTTGAGGCACTACCTCGCTACACGGTGGATCAACCTGTGGTGGATTAGCAAAGAACACGGTCATGTCATCGTCGGGGAAAGCTTACCTCAGCGTGCTGATGGAAAAGGTGGCAATCCATGCAAGCAATGCAATCAACAGTGTCGCTGTCAAGCCCTTCTGCCTCTCACAGATGCTCTGTCGGTACGGACACGCATTTGTCCGGTCTGACTCAACACATGCCCATTTGTCGTCTGTCAGGGCCTGGAAAGCCAAACTAAGGTTCGCCGACTCGAAGACGATGAAGGCCAGGTCGAGAAAGATCAGCGACATTTTGGCATTGGGCGAGCGTAGGCCGAGGGGCTTGGAAGTGTATTCGTCGTAGGTGATGTAGATGGTGTATAGGACGGCTACAATGTCGACGAGTATGGCCATCCAGGTGGACGAGTTGTTGCTGCAGCCGTTGTTGTCCGAGTGGCGGTAGATGGAGCATGCGAGGGAGAGGGCGAGGATGGAGAAGACGAGGACAATGGCGCGGACCAAGGCGGGCACCATGGGGTGGTTCATGATGGTGTTGTGGAAGCGCATCAGGCGGCGCTTTCTCTTCTCCGAGGTGAAGAGCCAGAAGCCCTTGATGTGCTCGTCGCCGAGGCCGTTGTCGATGGGCTCCCACTTCTGCTCGAGATCGGGCATGTTCTCCTTGAGCCAGTCATCGTCGACGATCTGGCCGCGCGAGGAGATGGGGCGGTCGTGGTTGGAGGCCTGGGTGAACTGCTTCCACTTGGGTGCGCTGTCGCTGACGGGCGTCGAGAGGGTCACGGGGGCGCCCTCGCGAGCATGGTCGAACTTGCGGCCTGGCACGCTGGACTTGGGCGTCGGGCAGAAGTTGTGGTTGGCATGGCGGACGTTGGTGGGCGTGCGTGG